CTTCATGCCCTGTGGTTGCTCCTAGGAGAGAGAAAACCTGCATGTTGTGGGGCTGGATTTTGCACTCATGGCAGAGAAAATAAATGATGGAGAAGTTTTCAGAAACCAGGCTTTCTTTACCCAGATCATAACATGCTGTTGGGAGAGGCTACTGAGTCTGTTGGCTATGTCAGTGTTGGTAGATATTTTAGCCATTTCTCCTTCCCAGCTAGAAATATGAACAGCCAAAGAGGAGCCCAGGGTGTTGCTATAATTTGGCTCTTAAATGTCCCCAAACGGTGCATGTGTTCAAGGCTCGGTCACCAGGATGGTGCTATTGGGAGTTGGGCCTGGTGGAAAGTCATTAGGTTACTTGGGCATGTATCCTTGAAAAGAATGGTAGGACTCAGCCTTCTTCCGCTCTTTCTCTTTTGCTTTCTGCTGATGAGGTGAGCAGGCTTTACTCTGCCACGGGCTCCCATCCTGAATGTACTATCTCACCACAGGTGCAAAAGCAATGGACAGAAATACTGGACATCCAATTATGGACTGAAACCTCTGAAACTGGGAGCCAGAATAAACATTTTCTCTTTATAACTTGGTTATCTCAGGTAATTTTTGTGGTCATGGAAAGCTGACTACCTGTGTCCCTGATATCTAGGGCACACTCTCAGGTGACTCCAGCAGCTCTGTCCCTCGTGAATCCTTCCTGAATGTACTCCTCCCCAAGGTCTGGCAGGAATTGGAGCCAATTAGACTACTTGAATTTTTTCTATAACCAGGAGCTTAGGGACTTCTCTGAGTCTCTTCTGTGGATTGTAAAATGGTACCCTCCTACCCATTGCTCTGGACCTCAAGGACAATAAAAAGGCCAGAGTGTCATGGAAGCACAGAGGTTCACCTGTTATTCTTTTTGTTCCTGGTGTCTTCAACTGAATCTTAGGACTCAGAAAATTGAATTAGCAGGTGTCTGAGCTCAACAAGAACTGCCAGAGCTCTGAGGGAGTTGGGAATTCTGGGTGGGCAGGGTGTGCCTCTGTGTCTGGAGTTCTGCCCAAGGATTCCACATACATTCCTTATGTGTTCTGTGTTGCTTCTTTGCTTGGCCAAGGCAGACTTATGCACCTTTTCTTTGTGCATTTTGTCTGCTGTGTGTGTATGACATGTAATTAGTTCCCAGCTCTTTCCACTCCAGACCCACAGCATACAACACTACATAGGCTCGTGTTAAACTAGAGCAGGCCATTTATGTGTGTATTTTGGGATCTCCTAATTAAGCCTATGGATCTCAACTATTCCTTTATAACACCATTTTCATTTACGAATAGATATTGTGGTTAAGTAGATGAGATTGCAGAGTCTGAGGAAGACAGATATGTTCAGCAAAGTGGAGCATCATTTTCTGTTTGCTCACAACAGCCACAGTAAGGAGGTTTTACAATCTCTACTTAGTGTGTGGCCTTGCCTTTTGTCTATGAGCAATATGTATTTATTATGTATTATGACACATGTTTGAGACTTCTGTTGTGTGTGTGTGTGTGTGTGCGTGTGCATGTATGGTGTTTCTTGCTGGATTGGGAAAAGTATGTACATATAATTCATATGATTTTTGTGTGAAGTACTTGACCTTGTGTGTTTATCATTTAGTATGTGTGTTGGATGTGAATTTATGTTCAAAGTATGAGTTTAAGCCTCTGATATATCATTTTGTGTTTCTGGTAGTGTTGTGTTTGTGTTAAGACTCTACAAGTATTTGTATGTGTCTGTGTAAGTTATTTGTGCTTTATGTATCAAATCTCGGGCCCTTTTTGTGCTTTTTGGTTTTCTGACTATGCATAATAGGAACATATAATTACTGTCTTTTCTTTAGGATCAATGTCAGTTACAGATGATAAAAAGTCACAAATCAGCATTTAAGTGTGTGCATGTGTAGGGGTGTCTGTGTATCTGTTTCGTTTGTGTGCTTCAGGGGTTCATAATTGGCCTTTATGATCTCAAATATTTCCTTAAGTTCTTTCAGCCATTATTTTTTCTCATGGAACAGGAAGATTCACATGTGTTTTAACCCTTGTGCAGCTTATATCTAATGTGTAAGCGTTCAGTTTCTGCAGTAGGTCATGCTTGGGCCCAGTCCTCAATCTGGCCCCTGGTACATTTTTGTGTCCCTGGAAAATGACTTGAGATCTAGTTTCCTCACTAGTAAAGGAAGGTTAACTAGCCCTATCTTTTTTTGTCTTTGTAATGTTGGACATTGAATCCAGGATCTTCTCAGTAAACTACATCCTCAACCTCTTTTTAAACTTTTTTCAGCTTTAATTGAGTTTATTGGTACATTTTAGATATACAGCACAGTTACATTCATCATTGGGTTCTTGTGCCTCTACATGACCGGTCTTGCTTCTCATTTTTTCCCCTTGTCCCTGCCCTCCCTTTACCCCCTCCACCCCTCCCCATCTACAACCACTTTATTTTCATCTTTTCATTATCTCACATTTTTTTCTTTTCCCATTTTACCCTTCCCCTACCCATCCCACCTTCCCTACACCTTTAGCTTCTTTCTTCCCATTTCTCAGTGTCAGTAATCTTATTAGGATCTTTTGTATTATTGCAGATTATTCACACCAGAGACACTATTCGGTATTTACACATGTGTGCCTTATTTATTTCACTTAGGAGTATATCTTCAATATGTATCCATTTTAAACTTTTAATTTTGATACAGGATAATGGTGGGTTGCTAAGTTGTCCAGACTGCACTCAAACTTGCAGTGCTCCTGCCTCCCCCTCCTAGTGTGCTGGGATTATACTAATGCACTGAAGCCCAAGTAGTCCTACTTTGTGATAATATGTTGGCCAGTAAGTGAGTCAGCGTATACAAATTATCCAGCACCATTCCTGGTATATGGTGATCAGTAAAAAATAAGTAGTTTCCTTGTCTCTCCCATAATCCGATGTTTATGTCGTGGAGGTTCCTTATTTTAACATTGCCTCAGGAAGAAGAGTAGAAGTCAGAGAAAACTGGCTTATCCAAAGTCTTCCTTTCTTACCTCAATTCTACAACCTGACCTTCTCATGACTCAAGGGCCCATCTGCTTCTTTCCTGTGAGATCCACCTGTAGCAAGGTTCCTGGTTGGTTCTCCCTCTTGTGTTTCCTGGTGAGGAATGACAAAACATGAGTCAGTGAGCTGCCAGGAGTCCCCATCAGCATCTGGCCACTGTCCTCCTTGGTGGCCATGAACTGAGATGACGTATGTGCCCGTGAAAGTCCCTGTGAACAACTTACTCTTGTGCCTCTTTATATGGTATTCCTTCTTTCAGGTATGTGTTTGGTAATCCTAACCTCCAACTAAGTTCCCAGGCAAAGAAATACTGAATCTTTTTTTTTCTGGTAGCACGGATCAAACTTGGGTCCTTGAGCTTGCAAAGCAGGGGGCAGAATCACTGAGCTAAATCCCCAGCCCAGAAATATTGAATTTAGAATCCACTATCAATCAACTGGATGACCCTAGGTTGTTTATTTGTGGCCTGAGTGTTTTCATATCTATGGAATGAAGAAAATTATATTTACCTTGTATACCATATAGTCTCAGAATATATATATATTTTTAAAGAAGTTTAAGTGAAGAATGTGAAAGTCTTGGAAATTGCACAATGTGAGCAGTAAATTTTTTTAAAGCAAGACTTAAGGACTTTCGGATGAAGATGAAGGTGGTGGAGGATATATATATATATATACATATACATATATATACATATACATATATATATACATATAT